GCAAGAACGTGGACACAGTTTTGATGGAGTTTGGGGTTCGTTTCCATCGCCTCATCTACGAGCACCTCCAGCAATACTCCTACAGCTGCATGGGGGGGATGCTGGCCATTTGTGACGTGGCTGAGTACAGGAAGTGTGCCAAAGACTTCAAGGTGAGCCTGTCTGTAGCTATGATATTTTCTAAAAAATCCCTTTGCCAGGATTTTTCCTCCTGAGAAGCTGAGAGGCCTCAGGAACAAAATGTAAACATTGATTATCTGCTGCTGTGGAATGCAACAGGTGCATCTGGGATTGGTCTCATGTGGTTGTTTCTAATTAATGGCCAATCACAGTCAGCTGGCTTGGACTCTCTAGTCAGTCACAAAATTTTGTTATCATTCCATTCTTTCCTTTCCTTGCTAGCCTTCTGATGAAATCCTTTCTTCTATTCTTTTAGTATAGTTTTAATATAATATATATCATAAAATAATAAATCAGCCTTCTGAAACATGGAGTCAGCATTCTCATCTCTTCCCTCATCCTCAGACCCCTGTGAACACCACCACACCTGTCCATCAGGAGGGAGTGATGGTGCTAAATCCTCTCTCTCCTCATCTTTTGAAGATACTGTGGGAATCCTTAAAATCTGAGGGTTTTGTGAAAGCTGCAAAAGGCAGGCCTCATGTGGGAACCCAGGACATGCCTCTGGCTGCCCTGGAGGGCTCGAGCCCCTGCCAGGGAAATCAGAGACCTTGGCACAGAGCCCAAAACCACTGTGCCTTTGATTTTGACCCATGGAAAAAATTACCAACCTTCTATGGTAATTACAAGTCTCAAAAGTTTAAGTAGAATGATAGTTCATCACAGGGTGAAAAATAGATTTTTGAGGTTTTTAGAATGGGGGCTCAGGGTCCCAAGATGGAAGAATTTGGGCGTTCCTTGTCCTTTTTCCTTCTTCTTCTTGGCCCCCATCTTCTGGGTGATGTTGGCACTTTTAGATTGGTTTAGAGTAGAAGCTCACTGTCTTACACAGGTGATGGGTATTGGGAAGTTATTGTAAATAATGTACACGTAGTTTTTAGTATAAAAAGACAACACCGCCTCTGAGGTGGGCAGTGTGCCTCAGCCCGACCTGCCAGGCAGACCTTGGGCGGTTGGAGAAAGAATGTTATAGATAAGAAACAGTAAACAACCTTGAGAACCAGAACAGAAGAATCCTGACTCCTTCTTTGACTGCTGGGCTGGAAAAAGAGATTTTCTAGTGCATCTCAGGGTCATTCTGACCAGCAGAGATTCTGAGAGCCTCAGAGACAGCAGAACTGTGATTGGAGCTAAGCAGTAGCCATGAGATTGGTCAGCAGAAAAATTATGTAAGAAGTAGAAAAGTAAGGACAAATAGAACAATGGTTTCTGTATCAAAGCTTGTCTAGAACAACTCCCTAAGCTGCAGAAAAGTGTATCTAGTGAGATATTAGGAAGTTCTAAGCTTAATAATGGAGCTCTGTGCTTTGTGTTTTAAGGCTTACAAGCAGGTATTGTATTCAAAATAAGCAAGCATTTTTTAACCAAAGGTGTGTTTCTAGTGGTTGGGTGGAACTACTGTCAATGTGCTTTTGCTTTGTGTAATTGGTCAAAAAACTTTTAAAATAAGTTGTAACATTAAGTTCTTGGTCTGCTGGTGGCATCTTCCTATTGTCAAAACATTGTTATGAGACTGATGCTGGAAAATAAAACAGCTCAAGGCTGTTCCTAGCATTTGTGATTTGTACATAGACCCCAGCCAGTGATAGATGTAGATGGATATTCTGTTATAAGACTTTCACCTGATGGATATTCTGTTATAAGACTTCAAGCAATTCTAATTTAATTTCTGTTTTTTTTTCCTTTGTTTTCTCTTGCCCACAGATTGCGCTGGTCTTACAGCTCTTTGATACCCTGCATGCACTTTGCAACCTTCTGGTTGTAGCCCCAGATAATTTGAAGCAGGTTTGCTCAGGAGAACAACTTGCTAACCTGGACAAGAACATCCTTCACTCCTTTGTCCAGCTGCGTGTCGACTACAGGTCTGCTCGTCTGGCTCGCCACTTCAGCTGAGAGCATGGCAGGAATCCTTGCACCTTTGGGCAGCCTCAGTTGTTAGAAAGCACAGGGAATTATTTCTTACCAACCATGGGTGTAACTTTTGTGGGACAGTGACTGTTCAGGGTAAAGCAGCAGCCATATTTAAACCTGGCCATGTGGAAGGCGAGCAGGTGAAAATCTGGATGATGTTTCATGTTAGCTCAAGTTCTCCCAGTGAAGAATTTCACAAATCTACTTGCTACTGATTTATTTTTTTTTCTAGTTGGAAACATGTTGGTGTAGGAGAGCAAATGGTGCATTGAAAGTATTTTAGTCTTCAATATTGAATTATCAGATACCATTTGTTAGACTTGAACTACAGAGCATAGCGTAGGTAATGGATTACATAGAATAGACCAGTGTAAAAACATTCTTCATCAATTTTAATGACTTAGACTTCAGCACAGCTAATCATAATCAAATTATCTTTGATTGGTGTTTCTAAGTCATTTCTTTCATTTAAAACGTTATCCTGCTCAATGTAATTTCTTGCTCTAATTAATTAGCTTGGAATTTCTTTGAGATGTAGGAGTAAAACACTATCCCAGAAAGACATAATTTATTCATTGTGTAGCATTCTAAACAGAACTAAAGTGGTGAAAAGTTTTGGATTTTTTTTTTAATTTTATTTTTGGTTCTTTGGCTTTGTTTTGTTTTTTTTTTACCTAATAGTCAAGGGCCCACTGGAATGTACTGGCATTGTATGATCTGACATTATTGTTTCTGTTTGATACCAGCACACTGAATTTTATATATGCTCCTGAAGTAAATGCAGCTGCCTTGCCTAAGGCATCCCTATTGCAAGGGAGGGTGCCCATTGTTGGGTTACTGTAAAAGAACTTTTTCTCCTGTTTTATTTTGTATGTAAATAAATTCAAATTCTAACGAAGTGAAAGGATAAAATGTAGCCCAGTTTTTGCTATGTGGCAGGAATGGCCCCAGCAAAAACCTAGAGTGGCAAATTCTCATGCTGAAGAGAATTGATCCTCAGTGCCTGAGCAATATAAAATGTTGAAGTGTGTGAAAGCTGCTCTTCCACTGATTATAACTTTGATATTGGACAGAGGCTACTCTGTGTCTGTTGTGCTCCAGGGTTTATGCAGGAGTTCCTGACATGGACCCACAGTGTGCACACACTGAACTGAAGCAGCAGTGGTGTTTGAAACTTCTGGGCTGGCTTTTCCACAAGCAGCTGGAAATTGTTGTAAATAGACCTTTTTTTTTCACAGTGGGCTCTTGTGGAAGCCAGGTTGGAACTGCAGTGGAGCAAATCCTTGCAAACATGTTCTTTCTTCTACTGTGGGCTCAGCACATTTTGGAAACTTCTTTGTCTCCCATCTCCAGAGCAGCATTTCTATCCATTCACTTTAAGGGTTGGTCAAAGAATTGGATTTTCCTCTCTGTTAAAGAATTCCCAGGTGGGGTCAATATTGACAAGACTTGTTGGAACTTCTCTTGCTTAGCTGGGGTTCTCCTGCTTCATTTTGGATTTAGGGGAGCATTCTGTCAGTAAAGAGGGGAATGGATGCCAGCCTGGCTGACAGCATCCAGGGAGTCTGGCTGCTCTGCTGGGCTGCTCTGCTCTGTTCCTTGGCCATGGCAAAGCCACACAGGGGTTTGGACACTGGAGGAGGCACCTGCTTGTACTGCTGCCATTTTTGTTCCAAAAGCTCTGATGTGAATTCAGATGATACCTCTCTGTTACCTCTGTAACTGAAAGCCAACAATTTTAAGGCTGTGGTTTTATGAACCAATACAAAATCTTTCTACAAAAAAAAAAAAAAAAGAAAATAAGTGTCAATTTGCTAACACTTCAGAACAGTGAACATCATCTTGAGACTGCAGATCACAGAAGTGCTTCAGAATTTGTTGTATGACTGTTTGAATTTTTTTAAGGTTGTATGAAATGTATTTACCATATTCTTTGCTTTGTTAGCTGTGTTTTCCATGCATATGCTCAGTGCAGTATTTCCATTATGCCTGTTAATAGGAGGCAGCAAAAAGTAGGTGAACACTTAGATATGTAAACTCTTCCTCAATAAAAAGAATTCCTTCCAGATACTTTTTTCATTTCATTTCCATGTTCCTCGAAGATATTTATACTCAATTGTATAAGCCCTTCTATTTAAAAGAAAAAAAAAAGAATAAAAGTAATTTTACTGACCAAATTTATCACTGGTGTGAGCTTTCTCCTTCCTTTAAAAAACCTCCCCATGCACACACTGGAAGTTTCTATTTCTGGAGAAGGATGCATTGTCAGTAAGTTTATTTTATAATACAAGTTCCATTGGGATGGGGTAGGGGAACTATAATTTTCACACATTTTTAAGTTTAGAGCTCTTACAGCATATAATTTAGAAAAATATTTCCAGTGGCTTATGAATGCAATGAAATAGTATCCTAAATACAAATATGCCTTTTAATGTTCATATAATGAGTTAAAGTATTGCCTGTCTAATGTTCCCTCCTACAACATAGGCATTTATTTATCAGGCTGGCAGCCAAACCTGGGAGGGGGAGAGTGTGTGTGTCTGTAATTATGTTGTCTACAATTGGTGAAAATGGCTTTGCAGTAAACTGTTGTAGGCTGGAAAAGAAGCTGTGGGTTTTTTTTCAAGTCCTGTAATTTATTAAGGTCACTTGCTATTTTGTTCTGTTTGTGTGTGCACAGAGGGCAGGAAGGAATTCTGTAACAATCCTTCAGAAATAATGCAAAAAAAAATGGGGAAACAGCAGTGCTGGGAAATGGGAGATAGAGAAATAGAGGGTAAGATGTGAAGAAGATATGAACTAAAAAAGGATATGGAGAAGGAGCAGTTTTAAATGAAGAAGCACATGGAGGAGGAGGTTAAAATAGGAATGATGGAAACCTGCCACACACATCAAGCTGGGAGAAAAAGCAGCATTGACATTGAATTTCCACAGCTGTGTCCCACCCTGAAATGAAATCAGCCTCCAGAGGAGAGGGGCTGGCTGAAATACTTGGCTGTGGAGCTGTTCATTCATCTGGAGAGATGGGTTCAACAGGAGGAGAATCCAAACCCGGTGTGAAGGAGAGGTGCTGGTGTGGGAGTCTGCAAGGAGTGGAAATGCACCAGCAAGGTGCAGCCTCCGTGGAGGGAAAGAGAATTTGCCTTCATTTGTGTCCAGAACCACAGAGCTGAACTTGTGATTCTCTGAGGACCACAGTGAGCTGGAGGAAGGTGAGTGCTGGATTTGAGAGTGGCAAGTGTTAGCAGCGGGAAATTCAGGCTATCCTGGCTATGGGGAGAGGACTTGGGTTGGGTTTGGTTTTATTTTCCTCTTCACAAAGTTATTTTAATTCATTGGTGTTGTGATGGAGTGTTGTCTGAATTGACTGCTCTGTTTCTGTGGGAGATTTTGTGTCCTGCAAAGTGCCTTGGCGAGGGTGAGGCCCCTTGGGTCCCCTCCTGGGCTGGGTACACCTTGTCCTGTCCTTCAAAACATAAAGTTCCAGGTTTCTCAGTCCAGTGTGTGCATGGCAGTAAACACTCTCAGTTCTGGATGTCATGACACATTCCAGAGCAGGAGATGGCTGTGGATTAAGTTTTCATGGCAAATTCAGATTAGCACTTGGGTTGAGCCACTCATAGTTGGAGGCTATGACTTTTTTTCTGTACAAAGGAAGCAGATCTCTAAACAATTGCTTGTCTAACTTTAAATGCAGGTAGCAGCCCTTACCCTTTGCCCTTCTTGTCCCAGGAGCAGCAGGGAGGACAAGCCAGCCACCAGCTCTCTTCTAGGGGATAACAGAAAGGTAGGAACACCTTTCTTGTCCTCCTGTTTTGCTGGATTTTGCCTTCTGGGCATTATTTCCTCCCCACCACCTCCTCCTCTGTGGTAGCTGTAAATGCAGACAGATTTTTGTTTTGCTTCTGCATCAAGGCTGGCATGTTGTAGGCTTTTATTTTTTATTTCCTGGTGTTTCTACACCTGTTTTAAGGAGGGGAGGGAGGCAGATCTCCTGCCCAGTTACATTCAGTGCTTTGCTTGTGTTTTTTCTCCTCCATTCTAATTTCTTTTGGTGGTAGGAGATTTCTCTACCACATCTTGTGCTTATCTTGCAGTGGGGAAGCAGCTGTGTTTGCCTGGCGTCTTTTCTCTTGTGTGGGGCACAGCCCTGTGTCAATACAGCCCTCAGTGTGTGTGGAAACCTTGGTTTCTACTTTTATTCTCTTAGCTTTATGTCCCTGTGCCCTGTTTTCCTTTCAGATCTCAGGACTGCACTATCCCTTCCCTTCTGTTTCACTTTGTCAGAGAGGGAAAAATCTTTAACTTTTCTGTGTGGCTTCTTGGAGACTTTTACGTATTATCTGGTGCTTCTTCATCCACGTGGACCCTGGTGGGAGAAATGTAGCTCCTTCCCCAAATTCTCTCATCTCTGCAGGTCTCTGTTTCCATCTCTTTCCCCCTGACCTGTACATTATATCGAAATGTCATGGAAGGAGCCAACCATGGAGGGAAAACTCAGATATCTCAGCTTTAATCTTTAACTAGGAAAGTAACATGAAATGCAAAGTTGAGCCATTTCTGAAGAGTATCAGCTTAAGTCAAAATTACTTGTTTTCATTCCCTGATTGAAGTTTTCATAGTAATTTATTTATTTGTAACTTCAGTTCATCCTGATATAGGATGAAACTAAATCTGAGGCTTGCTTGTAGCAGTCCCAAATCCTGCTCATCTGCACTGCTGCTTTTCTTCTGTGGAGTGAGGAGGCCTTGGAGCTGAGGCTGGAACACAGCTGAGCCACAGGCTGTGGCAATTCCCATCCTTCCCATGCCTTCCCTGTCCTCATCCCTGCTGTGAGGGGCCAGCCCCACATTCCCTGCCTGCCCTGCCCAGCCATCCCTTCAGTGAGGAGCCTTTTCCTAATACCCAGTGTCCCTGTGGGGTCAGAGTTGTCCCACCCCACTGATGTAATTTTAGATCATGTGTGACCATCCCAAGAGCCATAGCTGTCAGAGCTGCCTTGTTCTGCTGATCTCCCAATGTGCAGCATTCTTTGAAAGCTGAAATGTTAAAATTTTTCTTCTTGAAGGTTTAAACCGCCTCTGTCTCACTGAACCCCAAAATCACCTGCAAGGCCGCTGAGTCCAGAGTGTGAAGGAAGAAGTGCTGGTTCAGGATCCCAGCATTGCAGCAGTGGTGCTGCTGAAAGCCCCTCAGGCTGTGTTTTGTTGTTCTCAGATCTGGATTTAGCAAGGACAGAGGAGAGAGCAGACTGAGAGGTGTTGGCCCTTTCCATTTGTCCCCTCTGTGTGCGCAGTGGGGCTCTGTAATTTTGGGGCTGTTTGCACCACATTCTTCCCTTAAGGTGATTCACCTGAAGCCCAGCTGATCTGGGTTCTGGATCTCCAGAACCTGGCCCCTCCCAGCCCCATCCCAAGGGTTTATCCTGGCACAAAGGAGCCCTGGCAGTTCTTGGATGTGCAGCTGCTTTTCCATGGTGGCATCACATTGTATTTGTGACAGGAAGGAATGTTGAACATGACTCCATGTTCTCAGGAGGCTAATTTATTATTCTATGATACTAGATTATATTAAAGAATATTAAACTAAACTACACTAAAGAATACAGAAAGGATACTTACAGAAGGCTAAAAGGATAATAATGAAAACTTGTCACTCTTTCCAGAGTCCCAACACAACTTGGCCCCAATTGGCCAAAGAGTCAAAATAATTCACACCAGAACCCAATTAAACAATCGCCTGTGGGTAAACAATCTCCAAACACATTCCCAAGCAGCAAAACACAGGAGAAGCAAATGAGATAATTATTATTTTCCTTTCTCTCAGAGGCTTCTCAATTTCACAGGAGAAAAATCCTGGGTGAAGGGATTTTTCCAGAAAATGTGAATGCCACAGCATCAATCTGCTGAGGACAGGAGCTGTTGTTCTGTCAGGGGTTCAGCCTCATCAAGGGCCCCTCTTTGCTTCTAAAGAAACAGATTGTGGAGAGAAGGTGTGTCCAGAGCCAATTCCAAGCTCCAGGTGTTAGGACAGACATTTCAGGTTCACCTGGGTTGCAGATGGGCATTGTGAGCCCTCCACTGATATTTAAGTGAGGTTTGAGCATTGTGGAGAAGCCAGTGAACACAAGCTTGCATTTGAAACATTTTTATAACATCCATTTTACTGTAAACAATTCATTAAAATGACTTGCTAAGTCTTAGGCAAGTGGATTTTTGAAGGTTGCTCATTTTACTTATCCACCCAAAGTCAATTTGAGTATGAATATATAACATTTTACTCATAATAGCAAACAACTTCAGAGAAGAGACATTTATTCTGGAGGCAGAGATTCAAACTAGACAGCAATGATGCATTACAAATATATAATTATTTGCACTAATATTTGAGCAGGTGGAATGGATTAGTACATGGTCAACATTGCACTGCTGATAACATGCATTTTTCTATATTAATATGTACTGTGCAACATGTATTAAAATTGTCAATAATTCATTTTAACAGAGATAGCAATATTTATATTGCTGTGTTCTACAGACAGCAGAGTGAATTGTTAAAATGTATAAAGCTGGGCTAGATTTAACTTAACTTTGTTTCTCAGCATGTGTGGTTTTAATTTCTCATTAAGAAAAAAACCCCCAAAACAAAACACATTTCAACCTAGAAAGATTTTTGCTCTTTCATGGAATTTCTTTTCCAAATCCTTTCCTTCTCCCTCCATCCTGTCAGGGAAGAGCTTGAAATAAGATCTCCAAGACCCAGCCCAGCCTCCTTATAATGGGTGGATTCCTTCAGTGGATTTTTCTGAATTATATGAAGCTCAGGTGTTTTGGGTTTTTTATATTTTTAAGACCTGTTTTGTCTTCTGCTATGTTGTTTGTTGTTTTCCCTTTTAAATGCATTTTTGGGAGGCTCTGTGGGTAAAGTCAGTGTGTTTAAGCAGTGATTGCATCTCCTTTTATAGAGAAGGATCAGGAGGGGACATTCTGGGATAAGCAGGAAATGCTGCACGATGATGACCTACTAAGTTTTAGAGGAATATCTTAAATTGTCAGAGGGCAGGGTTAGTTTCAATATTAGGAAGAAATTCACCCCTGTGAGTGTGGGGAGGCCCTGGCACAGGGTGCCCAGAGCTGCTGTGGCTGCCCCTGGATCCATGGAAGTGTCCAAGGCCAGGGTGGATGAGGCTTGGAGCACCCTGGGACAGTGGAAGGTGTCCCTGCCATGGCAGGGGGTTGAAATGAGATGATTTAAAGTTCCTTCCAACTAAAATAATTCTGTAATCTTGGATCATGTTGTCTGACAGTGTTTCTTGACAATTGTTTTGTTCTGACATGCAGATCTGGAGTTGTATTTGGGGTGGGGAAAAATGGATTTTGTTGCTTTTTTTTTTTCCTCCTGGGGAAATCTGTCTGCAGGGAGGCAAGTAAATTGCAAGCAGCAGCAGTTCAAAGCAGCCAGAATCCCTGCATCCATCTGAAGACTTTAAAAGAATGTTCCTGACCAGCCAGACACAAGTTCAACTGGGCTAGTGAATCTCTCCATTTGTGTGCCCTTTGTTTTGGATGTGTGGGGGTGGTTTTTGTATATATGCTGATAAATATCAATCTCAGAAGTGGCTGTGGGGATGGATTGCTCCTTCCTCTTGTCTAGGCAATTCCTTTATTCTGAAATAGCATCTTATATTTGAAAAGCTCCTTTAACTGTGGAAAGACATCTTTCTTCAGTGTCAGAGCATCTGCTGTAAATGTCTGTGTGAACTGAGCCCCCAGTCGAGACTAAAGAGAAGAAAAGTCTTGTTTAGCTGTTGAGAGTCAACTTGCTGCTTTTTTATTTACTTTCTTCTTCCTGCAATAGTGAAAGGCTTAAATAGTAATTTTGAGGCAGAGCTTGAAGTCCAGGTCTTCTGAAGGAGACCAGAAATAGCTGGCTTGTGTTTGCTCAACATGTGGGGCACAGTGCCAAATTCACTGCTGGTGTGAGCAGCTGTAATTTTGCCAGCTTCAATGGAAATATGAATTTTTAAAAGTCCATAAGCACGTTAGACACATACCTTTGTCTTCCCACAATTAGTTTTGTTGCCTGCATAGCATGAGGCTTTCTGCAGTACATAATCCAATGCCTAAATATAGTAATTCCAATGCACTTGAGATCAATTAGATTTGTACTTTTAAACTCAGTTTTGTCTATAAAGATAATGTTATGTTGCTGAAGGGATTTGGTGTTTAAAGAGTCTGAACAAGTCTAAGTGGCTCTTGGGCATTATAATTTTTATTTAGCTGCTTTTAGCCCAATCACTAATCAAATTAAAACCTACCATGACTGGTGTCTAACTCAGAGCAGAGAGTAGAGTGTCTTTAGCTAATAGCACTTAATTTTTTGATGAGAGGGGTGCTAAGGTGGTGCTTGTGTTAGCAAGAAGAGACTCTTCTTTTCTGCAAATTGAAAAATAAGTTTTAGTGACTTTGGGGAAACAAAACCACAGGGGTTCAGGGTTGTTGTACTCCCTGTAATGATGGGCAAAGACCTCTTTGAAGCCTTTACACTGTGAAGGCGCTTTGCTTTAAAGGAAATGGCTTTATTTGGTCTTCACAAACAACAATCCTGCAAAAATAATGCTGCTGGTTGTGTGCAGGGAGGGCAAGAAAGAGCTGTCAGCTTTCCTCTAGGACATTATTCCAGAAGAGACCCTCAGATCAGGCCACTGGAGGGACAATTCCTCGTGCAGCAGTTGTGTGATCCAAAGCTGGGCTTGTTTCTGTTGAGAAAGCCGGAGCCGTTCTTTGT